AGAGAAAAGCAAAGCCACAAAGCCACAGTTGAGCGGATTTATGAGAACGCAGTCAGGATAAATACTCGCGGGTTGAGCGCCGTGAACTGTCGACCTTGAGATCTTCTTTGCTTGCCTCAAGTGGTGAGCTGGTCTCAGATGACCTTTTTACATTTTTTAAGGAGATCAGACCCCAACATGGCCTCCAGTCATGTGGGTAAATCTTATTAAAGTTTTATGAGCTCCATCCGTCGCCCTGCGATCACAGAGAACATCAAAGTGTCATTGGGGGACTCTGCAGGATCTTTCTCTCAGAGTTGAGAAGTTTATTCGGAATGTTCACAAAAGGGGTTTTAAAGTGAAGAGTTTAGAAAGAAAAGACCTGTCTGTGTGCGAGACATTTATTGGAGTCAGGTGGACTGTCCTGTGGTGACAAGGAGTCCGGAGATGAAGACAAAGGTGCCACTGGACGGCTGAAGTGTGGTTCAGTTCCCCTCTAGATGGACGTGAAACCTGAAGGGGGAGACGTGATGGGACTGAGTCTTTCTCCCAGGTTGAGTCTCCCTTTTCTCTAAGCTTATTTTTCAGCTCATATCTGATGATTCCCATCGACCGGTTACCCGGGAGAGCCGAGCTCCCACACAACACTTCCTCTCCCAGCGAACGTTCATCGGTGGAGGCGCTGCTGGGGAATGTCGAGCATGCGGCCTCCAGTCTCAGCCCCCATACCCCCCCCCCCCTCCAATCTAATTTAGATTAGCCCCCAACGTTCCCTCAACATTCTCTGAGCTGTTGATATTACAAACACATCGCACAACAGCGGGTGTGTTCAGAGGATGCCAACATGATCCTTGCTTGGGGGTTGGGATCTGTGTGTGTGTGTGTGTTGTTCATGTCTGCTTGCCGTGCCACCTGTGTATGTGTCTTCGGGAAGCCCGTGTGTCTTCTCAGCGTGCATTAGTGCGATTGTGCGTGTCTGTCGGTTTCTAGACGTCCACAGACGCCCTTGAGGGATCGATGGTACACAAAGTTTACACAACTCCAGCCGCGATTCACTGGATACCGGTTCTACACAGAAATCATCTTCGTCCAGCTGGGCAACGTGTCCTCACACTCTGTGGATTGTCAGCACCACAAAGTTCCCCCAACCAAATGAAACTTGATCAAGTTGAGGGAAAGACGACGGCGCTGCTTATGGAATGGAGAGACGGAGCTCCTCCTCACGGTGAGATTATCTGCTCTTCCATTGTCTCCTCCGCCTTCGTGTCCGTGCGTCTGGTATCCGTCCCCTCATCTCTCATTTCCTCTCTTCCTGTCTTCGTTGCCTCTCTGCTGCACAGCTGATTGGAGAGCCGCATCGCCACATTGTGACATATTATCAGGCTTCAAGAAAAGAAATCTGATGTCCGCACGTCGTAGAATTCACGAGTCATTGTGGTTCCATTCAGGGGAACACGGTCTGTGGACTTGCTGTCCTCGTCTCATTTGTTTTGCTCCCCCCCCTCACCCCCACACTTCTCATTTCCTCTCCCTTCTCCTGCGTCTTGTTACTCGTCTCTCCTCCCCATCACGTGACTCGTCCTCTTCTCTCTCCACTGAAACCGTAAAATGTTGTTCGCTCTGAGTGGATCAAGTGCCGATCACCTCTCGACTGTCACTCCAAATCGCAACAAAGTGAAACCTTTACGTCTCACGGGTTTGACCTTCTGTCCATGAAGGAAGAGGAACCGTTGGGCCTCTCGGTTCGTACCCTCTGATTGGCTGAAGAGGCATGAGAATGAAGAAAGTTGCACAAGCAACATGAGGTCGTTCGACTAATAAGAAAGAAAAATCATCCTGCACGTTGTGATTCAGCAGCGTTTCAGCGCGGAATGAAGCGGTGCGACACTTCATTTGCATTCAGAGTGTCTTCTATTATCGTTCATTTAGTTCCAATCTACCTTGATGGTTCTCTGGGTCCGGATCGCCGTCGTCACCGCAGGGCGAGCCGTCTCCATTCAGTCGTTCCCAGATTGGTTTGAAGGGCGTTGTATGAAATCCTGTGTCGTACTTTCAATGTCTTTGCAGAGAATATAATGAATGACCAAACAGAAAACATCCAATACAATGAAAATAAAACCCACAGACGTGCAAAAGGCGCCTCCTCTGCGGCACGTCATCGTTTCGCCCTCAAGTCCTTTTGTAGCTTCGAGTGGCCATTTGATGGATTGATGGATTTTCAATTAGTTTGTGTCTCTTTGTGGTCATTGTGTCATTGTTTTGGTCTCATAGTATTATCTTTATTCTATTGCTAGTGAAAGGTCAGTGATCCATTTAGCATGTCTCTCATGCTGATGAGTGTTTTTAGTCAGTTATCACTCATATTGTATCATGAAACTAAAGTCTATCAATACATTTATTGTATTTCTGAATAATTTATTGTCACTGTGGATGAACCGATAATTCAATTCAATTCATTTTATTTTGCGTTGAGGCGTTTTTGACTTAAAACAAAACGTTTACACCATTGCTACTAGACAACACCCCAAAAAGGTTTCTTCAAGAAGATCATTGGCCCTGAACCACATTCACTCACACGTGACAGATCAGGAACATTTTCACACATTATTTATTGCACTTTAACAAATGACAGACGCCCTCCGTCTTCTTCATACAAGCGTCTCTTTCCCCGTTGATCTCCCACCGTCTTCATCTCATCCACCGTTGTGTTCCTTCTGAACTTCTCTGAACATCTGTGTTCGCTGTTTACTCGTTGATCCTGAAGGGCCGGTGAGGAACGCATTCGTCTCCCCGTCAAATGGAGACGTTTCCACCAGCTGGGGAACAGCACGTCAATGGCAACAGGTGCCAGGATGTCAATGTGGACGGGGCTGAGACTTTACTTAAACTTGAACCATTTCCATGATGGTTTGTAACTCACATTCGAGATCAGGGGATCATCTGAAATAAGAAGATGGAAATCAGAATAGTTTTTTGTTTCATTGCCATGTGCATGCATTTCATCAGCCAGCTCCCTCGTTACAAAAATAGAGCCGTACATTTGCAGTACTTGTGATAATTAGTGATGTGGCCGAGCCGGTGTTGCTGCCAACAGATCAGCATATGAATCACAGGTATTTACAGGAGTGCCATGGATGAACTCCGCTCTGTGCACCTCTGTTTGTGCAGTGGAAAGTTTCGTAACATTTCCTCTCTGCTATCAACCCGTCACTCTGCCTCTCCGTTCATGTCTGGGAAAACATGTTGTAAAGGAGCATTTTACACAAATAACAAAAAAGTGGAGAAACCTTAGTTGAATACATTTAACGTAAGAGAAAAACCTTCCCTGTTGTTAAGAGGACTCCCTCTGAGGCAGTTCTGTTAAATGCAATGTGCATATAAGGCATTATCTATTAAGCACGTGCTAACGGAACACATCTCCACTGCAGAAATCTGAAAATGGGATCCAGTCCAGGTTGAAAGTTAGCTTATTCCTCATGTCAGGTCATCTACCAGAACTGATGAATCACAGCATCATTAAAAAACAATCCGAGCACATTAATTCATTTCATTACAAACCACATCACACAAATCACCTGAATAAACTTCCGGCGTCGGAGGTGTGTGCGCCGGTGAACAGATACAATGGGTTCGGCATTGACTCCATTCACACTTTATGCCTGTTGTGTGTCCATGTGTGCGTGTGTGTGCGTGCATGATGCAGGCCCGTTGGTGTGTGTGGCGGCTCACGCACTTTGCCACCATGCGCATTTCTTTGTGAGAGTCGAGGGGAGAGAGCTGGGGGGATTTGGGGGTGTTGGACTTCCCTAATACAATGAAAAGCCACTTTGCCTTTTGTTTGGCTGCATGGCGGAGACAAAGCTCTCCACAAGTGGGGCTTAACATTCCATCGGGCTGAAGGGGGGGAGGCAGCTGGCACGGCGGAAAGGCCACACGGAGGATCTGTGGACTCACCAAAAGGCTGTATTGGGTTTCTGAGGCCACTAGGAATGCATGGGAACTAGCCAAAGAAAAGAGGGGGGGGGGCAGGTTACAGGCTGGTGGAGGGAACGAGAGAGAGGAGACCACGTTGGTCTTTATTGACCCCTTTGGTGTGGACAGATACTCAAGTAGAGCAGCGATTAAAGTGAATACAAGGACGTTCTTCACCGGTTATCAGTTCATCCTTTGTATCATCTCCATAAGCAAACACCTGATGTATACATATAGAAATGCATGTGTATACATATGCATGTATTTATATGTTTTTACGGTATACGTATGGTTATTAGTAGTAATAGCAATAGTTATTGCCTCAAAGGGCCGAGAGACAAAATACCGCTTACGTAATCCTGCTGCTTGGAAAGGAATGCAGGTGAGTGCAGGTGTGCTCAGGTAAACACAGTTTACTTCTGTCCACTTTCAGCCAGTTCAGAGCAGACAGACTTGATTCGAATGATGACGTTGTTGTATTTGTGTAACTATTCTACACCAGCACACGTAATCATTTAAAGGTTGAAGGTTCAGCAGCAGGTGAAACTACAGAAGAAAAGCATTGTTCATCAACGTGATTACTGACCAGCCGGTAGTTAACGATAGTTAGTGCAGACTAACCAAGAAACCAACAAAAACAATGTAAATCTAAATGTTGGTTGTATTTCTTTAACATCTGTCCGATTGGAATGATTTAGTGGACGTGGGCATATAAGATGTGTATAATATCAGTATTAGTCAGTAGGATCAGACCACTGCATGAGAACTGAAGGCCTCCTTCTGCTGAAGATGTTCACAGCAGCGCAGTTAAACAACACGACCACTGGACTGAAGTGGTGCTCGGATTGCATTTTACTTGCATACTATGATTACTGTCAGATCAGGTACCAAAACCAATGATACTATGATTCATTGGTTTTGGTACCTGATCTGACAGCTATGAGGAAGAAGTTGAAAATATTTCTGGTTAAGATAATTAATACATTTGGCAGTGGAATGTTTTTTCTCCTTGGTTTACAAGTGACTCACACGCCTCTGCTATGAGGTGACAAACAAACTGTTTCCTGGTCACCAGAGTATAAATGGCAGCACCTCCAGTCAGTGAAGTCATTCTCCTCACAGGAAAGACACCGACTCCTCAGACGCTATGTGGACCTTCATCGTGGTTGCAGTCCTTCTGACCGGTGAGAACATTCAGCTCTTATTGGTAGATGCACCTTGTGCTCATATTCTGTCGATGATGTTGATGATTGATTGTTGGACGACATGTTTGTTTGCAGCTGGACTCGCAGCGCAGGATTATGGCAATAGATTGAGAGGCATTCTGCGTCATGCATGTCCAGACAAACACGCCGTGTCCCAGATCAATAGGTAAAGTTCAACGTAAAGATCAATGCACCATGTATGGTTTGCTATGTGCCTTTTTACTCTGCTTCTTCTGAACTAACCGTTAAACCTTTGTGATTCATATCAAAGCTCCTACAGTGCCACTGACCAAGATCGCCAATGGAAGTTTGAGTGCAAGGCTTTGGGTTCCACCTCAGACTGCTCCTGGTCCACCTCCCAGGACTCGTATGACACAGAACTCCGCTACCATTGTCCGGTTAATCGTGTAGTTGCTGGCGTCTTCAGCGATTTCGACATGGCACAAGGAGCCAGAAGGTTGGTCCTTTGTTGGAATAATGCATGTTGTTGGAATCTATTAACATTATCGTATGTGGGGGGCTTTAAATGGAACTCATTTGTCAGCATGGTGATATTTCATTGCTACCGAGATGGTTCAAACACAGGAGCATACTTTTTAAACTGCTTTTTTTGTCTGAAATCCATCTGTGAGCTCCTTCATGACTTTCAATGACATTTTGGTTTAACTACTTGATTTGATGTTAAGACTGAACTTAAAAAAGTAAAATGGTTTCCTTGATCTGATCTTGTTTCAGTTGGAAGTTCCTCTGCTGCTCCGTTCCAAACTTTGTGACTTCTGAATGTCGTAAATCTCCACTGGTGAACTACTGGAGCAAAGACTTCACCTGGAGACTCCCTGCAGGCCACTTCCTGACAGGAGTCCAGACCCAACTCAAGAACCGGGACACTGGGTAAGCAACCTGACACCAGAACACAGTTCTGCCTTTAACCTTTATGTTTGACATCTTTTCAGACACTGAATGAAATATTCATTATATCATTAGATCAAATGTTCATTATTTCATTTAAATTGTTTACTATATTTGCTCCTAATTGAGTTTAGCCATAATGATCAAATGAGTAACAATGATCTCGGCTTTCTTAAGACTTTACAAAGTGACATTATTTTTTTTATTGACAGTGATCATCGGTGGAGTTTCAATTACTGCAAAGGAAAAACACAAGGTAATTAGTTTTACTGTACTTCGTTGACTATGAATGCCATAGACATGGATATTGGTATGTCAGTGTGCATATTTATTAACACTACACCAGATAGCACTTTTTCACAGATCAATTGAATCAAACTAAACCTTTTTTATTCACTTTACAGATACACAGACAGTCAATTCACAAATCCTCAGAGCAAACAAACCAGTAGCCAACCTTGTAGTGGAAGGAGATGTTATCGTCTCTAATACAAGGAATGCAAGAATCTGCAGTGACTGCAGATGGGAAAAGTTACAAGCGACAGTCCAAGTGCCATTTATCGTGAGTGATTCCTTTACCAGCGCTGAGAAGGACCAGATTGCCAAAGCAATCAGTGCCTTCCACATGAGCACCTGCATCCGGTTTGTTGCCCACACGAACCAGCCCGACTACATTAGCATTGTGAAGAAAAGCGGCTGTTGGTCCTGGGTTGGACGAATTGGAATGTCTCAAGAGGTGTCGCTGGGTGCAGGGTGCCTTCAAAGTGGTATTATCCAGCATGAGCTCATCCACGCACTCGGCTTCTGGCACGAGCAGAGTAGAAGTGACCGAGACGCTTTCGTCAAGATCAACTTAGCAAACATCCAGGACGGACAAGAGAGAAACTTTGACCGATTGGACACAAACAACCTAAATGTCCCATATGACTACTCGTCTTTAATGCACTACGCACCCAGAGACTTCTCAAAGAACGGGGAAGATACCATCGTTGCCCTCGACCCCTCAGCACAAATAGGCCAGAGGGAAGGCATGTCGGAGAAGGACATTCTGAAGATCAACAAGCTGTATGTCTGCAGTAAGTTAGATTCAAAGGGAATATGCAGTTGACGGCAGAATGATGAGGTCTTGTCCCTGCTGGCTAAGTAACTTGTCTAAAATCCCCACTAAACGGAGCTCTCTCTTACAGCGGATTACCTTCATGCGTACAACGAGTGGGACAACGTGTTGGAGAACACTTTGAGCCGCACTTGTCCTACTGGCCAAGCTGTATCTGGCATCACAAGGTAAACATCTTCAATCAAGTTGGGTTTTATCTCTTATCATCTGAAAGCCAAAGTCAATGTATGTCATCACCTGATGTGTCGCCGATCAGGATGGAATGCCTCATTTTAAGCTACATTTTGAGACGTGCTCAAAGAGCCAAGTGTTGTGTTTCAGGTTTGATGTGTGAAAGCTCACAAAATCAATTTTTTAAATTATTATATTCATATAGATATAAAAAAGACCTGTGTTTTATTTATTTATACATGAGGTACAACAAGCAGTCTTATAACATGATAATTCCCTTCCACAACAGTCTCTACAATTCAGAGAAGAACGATCGACTTTGGGCGTTTTCATGTAAGGCTCTCAATCGTCAAACCACATGCCAGTGGTCAAGTTCTCTCAACAACTATTGGGAACCATTTAACTTCAACTGTGGAGGCGGTAAAGTGATCAGTGGGGCCTACGCTGAACACAGCCGCCTCTTCAAGGACAGGAGGTCAGTGGGTTTTATTGCTGGAAAAAACATCAAAACCACATTCTCTGATAACAAATTTGTTCATGAATGTTGATGAACACATTATTCTTCTTCAGATGGAGGTTTCAGTGCTGCAGCTCTCCTGGTTTTACCACATCCAACTGCTACACAGAGACACACATCAACTACTTTCAGGAATACTTCAGCTGGACGGTCCCCAGCGACCACTTCCTGACCGGAGTTCAGAGCTCCTTTGACCGGCCCAGTGGGTAAGAACCTCTTAGATCCTCACAGGCAAACATCTCCTCACTGACAGCATCCTTCTACTATTAGTCGCTAACATCAGAGGAATAAGCGGTGTGTAAACGCTCTTAGAATGTGGATGTTTCTTGTTGACAGTGACCGTCAGTGGAGTGTGACCTACTGCCAGGGGAACGGCCAGTGAAGCAGGACAAGATGTGGTGCTTCTTCACAACAATTCACCAAATCCATCGTTGCTGATTCAGACCGTCTGAATGTACATTTGGGGAATGTTCTCCCTCAGTGTGGATGTTAACTGTGCTCATGCTCTCATGCTCTGCATGATACGTGATGTTTAGTTCAAGTACCAGATGAAGATCTTCAAACGGTTCCATGGCCTGAAGAGATGAACTGGTCTCAGAGCTGCTCCTGTGATGCTTTTGTGGACCAGCTGTTCTCACACAGTGTTGAAGATCTGTGTGTGTTTAACACAGCTGGTGGATGTTTCTTATGCAACCCTTCTCTCTCTCTCTGGTGTCCATCCGGTTTGGGACACTAAATGTCTGCCAGATATCGTAATGTAATGAATTCCTGATTCTAATTAGATAATTAGGTCATAGTTTTTAAGGTGAATCGTGATGCAAGGTGTAACCTCCAAAGTGTTAATTTATATATTTGTATGTATTTGTACATATAGAACATTCTTTTGTGTAGTTAAATGCAACTTACTGTGTTGTAATTGATGTACACCAAGTGTACAAGTGTCACTGTTCTCGTCTGTAAATAAAGTTATTATGACTCAACACACAGTTTCATGTCCTAATCACTTCAATCAATAAACATTCATCACAATGCAATATTTTCATGAAGGCTAACTGGTGGGCCACCGAGAACACACTGGTGCTCTAATAACTGATAACCTCGCTTCATTTGAACTTTTTTGGATGCTACCACAAACTTTTTTACAAAAGAACAAAAGACACGAGTGTGTTGGTCACACATCCTGCATCCTGCGTTGAGCCCGTTCACTACAGAACCACAGAACCTTTTCTTCAGGACGGTCCAATGAGAGTTTCTCCCGTCCATGAAACTATGTGGACTTCCTGTTCTCTGGCGTTATTCGCTTTGAGGGATCCACCTTTATGAAAGAATAACAGGGTTCACGTAACTTCTCACAGCGCAAAGAGACTTTTACTAATTAGTGGAACAATGTTCCTGTAAACTACAGCTGACAGTGATGTTTGCTCATCATTTATCATCCAGCGCCACCTACAGGTCAACTCATCCTGAGAAATATTACAACATTTACTGGACAGATTGGCACCATTAATATCTGCAAAGCATGTTGTACACATATTGATGGTTGTTGATACCAATTGATATTGTTTGACTTCCTCTTTGTCTACAGGTCACATTTTCAAACTCCTTCCAAATATCGTCATTGGTTCATGACAATAAATCTACAGAACTAATAACGTTTGCTCTGTTGGCGGTTTTTTGTTTAGTAATTTATTAGCACCATGTGGGACTAAGATGGTGAACCCGAAGCACCGTCGACAGCCCCAAACATATTTATATATACATATATATAGATATACATATACCTGCAGTATGTACTTTATGTGTGTGTGTATACATGCACAGCTTGCCCACTCTTTGCTCACCCATCAACACATTCCACTCACTGCTGCTGCACAACTCTGCACACCCATTATTTGTTGGGGTGATGTTTCCTAAAGGGGCAGGTGTTGATTTTGACAGTGTCTTTGTACGTTTTTTGACAAAGCTGTTATTTACTAACCACTTTAGGTGGTTTCATTCTGCCGCTTACTGCAGCTACGGTTTTGGCCGTCAGGTTATTCTGCCGGTCTCAGGTCCCTTTTAAAGTTTGTGTTAGTGGAGGATGTCATTCAGAATTCTTTCGCATTCTGTATGACAGAAGAGCACTACGAAGCAACTACGGAACATTTCCCAACGTACGAATCCTAAAATCCAATGGAAATACAACCACTTACGTCACTTTATGGTGAATCTGATTCAGACATCTTTCCCTGCAAATTGAAAATGCCGAAGGTTGGGCGTACTATATTAACTATGAGAAGTAATCTAGTAAGGGTCAATAGGCGTTTTCCCCTTTGAGTGAAACAGATAGTAAGTCTTTGAATCAGTAAGTCAGCACTGTGAAAGGTTAATTAATTCATACCTTATTACCAGCTGCATTTCCAATCACAGAAAGAAACTACAAAACCAAACCAACATTGAAGTTGGTGGCGCCTGATTTTCCAGGAAGTGTTTCTTAAGTTAGTACATTTGAGGATATTTGTAACCTGGTTCTCTTTGAGGAGGTATGAATATAACAATAGAGTGAAATGCTGCATGTGACACCTCCCAAGGTAGCCCCCTGCCACCACCACGTGAATGTTCACAGCGCCTGTCAGGTACCCGGGGGACCATCCAGACCCTCAGACGGATGTTCATCATGTGCCGTGGACATCGTTTACCAGAGGTGAACGTATGGAACACGCTGCAGCAGGTGATACGCAGCAAAGACCAACACGTCACCACACGAAGGAAACCAAAGATGAAACTACGGACTCCAAAGAGCAAATTCTATGGTTAAAAACCTGAGCGCAAAATCTCAGTTTCGAGTCGTCGTGTTTGTGTGTGCGTGTGTGTGTGTGTGTGTGTGTGTGTGTGTGTGACGGGGATGAAACAGAAAGAAATACATCAAACAGGGGTAATGAAGCTTGTCGAATCCTGAAGAGCCACATAAGAAAACAGAGGCGCAGTGATTGTAAGGGGGGGTTCGGTGGTTCGGGGGGTTCGGGGGGCTGCAGAGGGAGATGGGGATAAATTACGATGAGGCCTTGGGTGATGGAGGAAGAAAGAAGAGGCAGCAGGTGGATGATATTACATCGCCGCTGTTACAGTCGCTCCCTCTCCCTTTTCTTTTCTGCTGTTATCTCCATCTTACCCCCCCCTCCCCCGCCTCCCTCCCCCGCCTCCCTCCCCCGTCTCCGCGTCCCGCGAAGCGAAGCCCGGCCCTAAATGGGAACAGAGGTAGCAGTGATCAGGCTGGTCTCCTCCAGCAGGGCCTCTTCCTCAGCTCATTAAGCCCACGGCAGAGCTCCACTTACCTGCCTGCACAGCCGGATGGGGAGAAGACAGCGATGAGGGGGGACGGGGGGACGGGGGGGGAGACATTACGCTCGGCAGATGAGAGCTTCATGGTCCTAATACACTTAACACTCACCCACACGGGCGGGACGACTGTGCAGCATCACAGCGCACACTGTGTTTCTGTGTGTTTTGGTGGTGTTGTTGCTCTTGGTGGTTTAACGTGTTGTTTCAATTAGAATCCTTCTCTCAGCGCTGACTGGCTCTTCTCCTCCTGGGTTTGCTGATGAAGCGTCACAGAATCACAGGATCCACTTGAGGACAAACGCTGCAACGGTGAGTCGGTTTGAATTCCACTGAGATTTGTTCAGTTTGACACGGAAGAAAACCTCACTCATCAATCAACAGAGTCAATAAATGATAAAGGTGTTAACAACACAATGTGTGACTCACTGCCCTGCATTTCATTGGGTGCAGGAAGACAACAACAAAAGATGTGTTCAGGATATCTGAGGAAACAACGGACAGGAGGAGGAGCAGGAGGAGTAGGAGGAGGAGGAACAGGAGGAGGAGCAGGAGGAGGAAGGAGAGGGAGGAGGAGAAGCAGGAGGAGGAGGAGGAGCAGGAGGAGGAAGGAGAGGGCTGAGGTGTAAAGGAAGACAACGGTACACTGAG